TTTTTTTTTTTTTTGTGGAGCTTTGTGTCTACTCAATGACACTCTTACAACAATCTATTTTGAAATTTAATGGACAATAATGATTATGACCTCCATGTACAAAAGATAAAAGAAAAAGTTTATATAGAGCCGAGGCTCTAAACAATCAAATTAGAGCACAACTCAAAAAGTTCACTAGAAGTGGTTGTTTTGATGCCCAAATATCTTCAAATTGATCATCTCGACATCAAGATGCACGGACATGAGAAAAAAAAATAGATGTCAAGTGTTTGAAATAATGCATCTCGTAATGCATTTTTGGACCGTCAATTTTCAATATTTTTAAGTTTTCACGTATCTGTTTGATCTACACTATTTTTTAAGCTTGTAATTTTGTAATTAGAGATGAAAATATATTTTTTAAAGCTATTACAAATATTTTCAGTATTGAAACTATATTTCTCAATACTATTTGAAGGTACGATTTATTTTGATCGTTCAGAATCTCGGCTCTATAAAAACCGCACTCAAAGATAAATGGTATCCTTGTAGACGATCCCTTTTTTTTAATAATGTTGGGTGGGAGGATTGAGGAAGGGGGAAGGTAGATTGCATGGGCCTCTCAAATTTCTCGTGGACATCCACATCTGCCTTTAATCTTAAACACGATACTACAACGTCCCTTTCCCCACCCACCCCCCTCCCTCTCTTAAATAATAAGTAAGGCATAAATATTTTTTTGTTGAAAGATGTAGTTTCATTATCGAAAACTTTTAAGATGACCTGAAATTCTATTTCTATTTCTTAATTCTGAAATTTAAAGATTTAGAAACAGTGTAGATTGAATGGATCTATTACTACTTAAAAATCTTGAAAATAGATAATATAGATATATGTTACAAAATGCTTTATTTTCACACTTGAAATGATTTTTTTCATGCCCTTGTTTATGGAGGTCGAGATGGGTCAATTTTAGGGTTTTCTGTTTTTTGAACAACCTTGTTGGGTGATTTTTTGAACTGCTGTTGCTTTTATAGCATAAGGGGGCATAAAATTGATGCCTACATTAAACTTTTTCTTGTGAGTACAATTATGCTTATTTAGACATTAGAGCAAAATCACCCATTTTCTTTTCCCCTATATGTAAATGGATTAACCTTTATAGTATGCTATTGCTGGAGCATACTATATAATAGCTAACTCCCCGTGAGTAAAATAGCTCCTTGGAAAGTTTTCTTTTTGAGTCCAAGTTTTGGGACCTCTCTAATTATCACTAGATTATTATTAGTAAAGAAAAATATTTGGATTTTGACATCTTGAACATCCAAATAATTTCCTTCAATTATGGGATGATTCCTGTATCTTGGGATGTCCATTTTTAGATATCAAGAGAGGAATTTTAAATTTCTTTTTTCATTTAAAATTAGACCTTGGGTTCTAATGATTCATCGTCAACGTTGTCAAAATTTTTATCCAATTAATTGAGGTCGACTACATGCATTCTAATATGCTATTTTACTCTATTAAATGTTATATATGCAGTGAGGCTATGAGATCCATATCTCTTCTCATTACTTCCAAACTTGTATTTTTTGGGTTTATTTTTTGCCATTTTTTAGCCTCTACTAAAACTAACTCGCACCTCCTACTAGGTATTGTACTGAGTCTACGTTATACATGATTAGCCCACCTAACTCTTCTTTTGCTAATCTTATTGCTTATTGTTCTCACACCTAAATTTTTTCGAATGTGTTCATTTCGGATTCCATCCCTTCTTGTCCTGCCACTTATCCATTTTAACATCGTCATCTCTGCTGCACTCATTCTATAAGTATATTATTTTTTTATCACCCAACATTATTTGAGTTATAAAGATTATATCTAAATATATTACTAGCATTAGTTTTATTGGAGGAGTAGATGGACAGTATACTCCTATGGGAGCAAAAAATCGCTTGGCTTAACACCATGGCCAAATTCGTATATAACCATTTCTATTAGAAAAATAATTTATTATCAGCCGTCGACTATGGAAAACCGGCGGGAACATTTAAAAGTGCGGAGGAGAACAGTTTAGGTGGGCCCAACACGTGTCCTTACATCTGAGTAATCTTCAATCAGGCGAACGTCACCAAGCGGTGACTATGTAAAATGGTCTACCCTTTGTATATGCTCAGAAATTTTGACAATTCCCATTTAGATCCCTGTTTCTATTAAGGGTGCGGTTTGTATTGAGCCTGGGCTCTAAATAATCAAATTAGAGCCTACCTTCAAATAGTATCGAGAAATGTAGTTTTAATATTAGAAATATTTGTAATAACTTTAAAATATATATTTATTTATTTGTATAAAGTTTAAAGTTTCAAAAATAGTGTAGATCGATTGATCTATGAAAACTTGAAAATTGACAATAAAAAATACGTTATAAAATATATTATTTCCAAAATTTGAAATCCATTTTTTTCTCATGTCCATGTACCTTGATGGTGAGATGATTAATTTGAGGACATTTGGGTATCAAAACAGCCTCTTTTAGTGATTTTTTTGAGGTAGGCTCTAATTTGATTGTTTAGAACCTTGGCTCTATATAAACTTTTCCAAATATTAGAAGTAAATAATTAATTGATAGTCAAGATAAGTATAATTAATTGATTGTCAAGGTAATATTTCCTTTACCTTTTAGAATTTTTATTGCAAATATTTTTAAGATAGTTTCAAGGTCTACTAAATCCATTTTCCAAGCATATTAGCTAATGAAATGAAGGGGGGACTGAAGAAATAGTTCTTTTGTGATAAAATACATCTACGGGAGTACTTTTATGTGTCTCTACATACATATATGTTCATAGATACATAACAGTCAATCTTGATTAAACTATATTTTTAAAAAAAATGCTCTAGTTTTTTGGAAAAATAGTTTTAAAAATGTGCTTTACAATAAAATTTTAAAAAAACCTCATTCGCAAAGAAATATCCAAAAAAACTTCCTAAAAATTATGAGATTTATATTAACGTCCTTAACTTGTATCTCTCTCCGTATTCATTTTACTCTTACTTTCGATCTTCCATAGCCTTGTCACAAAACTTGGTATTCATACTTAACTATTTTAGCAGACAATCTAGTATTTGATTACTTATATTATAAATGTTTTTGGGCTTGTCTACAAAAAGATCATTTATTTTTTATATATAAAGGTCGCAATCATTCTCACTCATTTAATATTAAATTGGATGGTATGGGGTGAGTCACAAAGTCTGAAAATTTTTTATTGAAACTTTGTGTCAATTCAATGACACTCTTACAATTACCTATTTTGAAATTTAAGGGATATGAATGATTGTAACCTCTATGTAAAAAAGATAAATAGGCTCTTTATAGACAATTTTTTTTTTTTTTAACTTTATAACTCATTGTTTAACTTGTACTCTTTAGACATATTAATCTTAAAACACACACACACATATATTTTAAGTTCAAAATTTTTTAACAAATCCAAAACAATCACATTCTCCTTAATGTTTTTTCTATACCTTCTAATGCTTTGACCTATTTTTTTTGTTCCTTATTGAAGTAAGATTAATCAATACCATTTTTTATTGCCATGTCAAGCAATTTATTAACCATGATTGACAGTTAACTGTTTATTAGATTATATTTAATATATGATATTATTGTTAGCTTTCTCCCAGCTATTAGATAAAAATCGAAAAGGTAAAAATATTTGCTCACATATAAAGTATAGACAAGAAAAAACTCACTTTTACATACAATCAACATCCCAAATTCAATTATTAGGAAGTTAAAACTTTTCCATATTCATTATCTAAAGAAAAGATGTTTGGTGCGTCCAATCCTACACCTGTTACTATGCAGGCTTGGAGATCTACACTATCCACCAAAACTGGGTCTTGTAAATAACAATTCTCCAAAAAAAAAAAAAAAGAAGGTAAAATCAACTGTTCAAATATTTTCTCCAAAAACATATCATTTTTAGTTTTTAAAAATTTATTTATTTATGCAAATTAATAATCCCATCTTAAAAATTATATATTTCATAAGAATTAGGATCAAATTCTATTTCAAAAATAAATTGTTTCTACGTGTGAGTATGTAGAATCATAAAAATCGTGTCCTCCTCTAGAAGGACAATATGTACAGTCATGTGCTACAAATAATTGACTTTTGCACAGTAGGTTATTCAAATTTCAAATTTCAGAATTTTAGAATGCCATTCGTTTCAATTATTTAACTATTTAAAGTGCCCAATGTTTTAGCTGTTTTCTAACTAAAATTCCTAAACAATGGTCTTCAGATTTGTAATTGACCCATGATAAATCATAGGCTTAAAACTAGAAAATAATAATAATCAAAGCCCCAAACCCTTTTGGAATATAGCTGCAAATAAAAATTAAGGATATGTAAGGTATTGTCAGTTTATAAAGGGCAAACCTATCCCTACCGCCACGGGAAAACCCTGCAAATTCAAAATAGACAACAATCCCAATCTTCGAACGCTCCGCTTCTCTCTCTCTCTCTCTCTCTCTCACTATTTAATACTCTTTCTCTCTCTAAAAGTCTCTCAATTCCGTTTAGGAAACGCAGAAAAATGTACTTACGCCGTTTCCCTTCACTGCTTATTCCGCCATTACAATTGCTTCGCCAAAAGCCCTTATTCCTATCCATCAGCCCTTAAAAATTCACAGAAATCCCTAGTTTTTCCATTCCTTCATAGCTTGTTTTGCCCTACCTTCACCCCCAGTTGCTGTACATTTTCGTGATAATTTTGGAGAAATCCTTTGCAAAGATGGCGACTTCTGCCTTCAAATCTACTTCAAGGAGATCTCAAATATTCACGCCTGAAAAATCATCGCCTTCTGCAAAAACCACCGAGGATGCAAGCTCTTCAAATCGCCCTGGTTTTCACAGGCGCTCGAGGAGCTTGAGTCGGTTTCCCGGTAGATATTCCGGCGAGCTGCAGGAATCCAAAGGAAGGAGGTTTGTGAACACAGAGAGGGGCTCAGATTTTGCGGCCATAAGCTTGGAGGACATTGCGGCTGAGCTTTTTAGGGCAGATGAGGGTTTAGAAAGAGGAGATAGAGAGGAGATTGGAGGTGGGTTCGTTAGGGGAAGTAGGGGTTTGGAGAGAGGAGAGAGAGGGGATTTTGTGGGTTTAGACAGAGACGAGAGAGGGGGAATTGGAATTGTAGAGACAGTAGAGAAAAAGGAAAGCGTTGGTTTTGAGCGAGGAGAGAGAAAGGGGATTGGGGGTTTAGAGAGAGGAGGGAGAGATGGTTCAAGGGGCAGGGTAAGTAGGCGGGCCCCAAGTATGGGGCCTGCCGAGAGGCGGGGCCGTTCCGTGTCGAGGCATGTGGAGCCCACTGTTAACCCTAAGGGCAATGGTGATGGAGTGGGGAGGCGGCTTCGCTCTGTGTCTGTCGCTCGATACCAATATAGTGATTCAGAGGTTGGTGTTCCATACATTTTCATTGATGATTTTTTTTTGGGTTTTTTTTTTTTTTGAGGTTTTCTAGCATTTGTTTTAATAATTTTAGTGTCTTGTATGTTTTCTTTTTGTTCTTACACAATTTTTCTCTGTTTTTAGTTTTTTCTATTATCATTATTGGATAATTGTTGTATATGGTTTCTTGTCTTCATTTTTGTTATTCTTTATGAAGCTGAGCTAGAGGTAGCTGCATTCAAAGAAGTAAATTGGTTTTTTTCCTTTCATGTTTGTTGTGGGCTATAGATGGGCATAGTTTAGACATGCTTGGACTTTAAGGAGCTGGTTCAAAAGAAATAACTGGTTTGTTTCTCATGTTTCTTGTGGGCAGTCTGGATTGTAAATGACTGGTCTCAGATAGATAACTTGGTTTCTTATCTTCGTGTTTATTGTGGCCTATGCTTGGTTTCAGTTATAAATGTTCAAATTTTGAGGAATTGGCTTCAAGGAAATGACTTGATTTATTTTCTTCAATGAAATAAAGACTCTGGGATTTTTAGTTTATGGCATTTATTGTTTCTTATTTTTTTGTTTTTCTCTCTTTTTCTACTTTTAGATTTAGAAGATGCTCTGTTTTGAAGGGGCTGTGATCAAATTAACACCTTGGGTATTTGTATATCTTCTTTTTATTTTGATATTTTTGTGGGTGAGAGATTTTTTTAGTGTTTTATTGTCACTGGTATTAATATCTTGTCTTTTATGGAATGGCCCATCTATGCTTACTACTTTGTCTCTCTGCGTTGGTTGAATTCATTCTTTTCATTTTTTGTATGATGAAAGATGACATATCTTCCCTGCTCATGTGCTTGGCTCGGTATTAGCTGTGCATGTTTTTTTTTTCCCTCTTTTAGCGTATAATTGTCTATTCTAATTAAGGAAAAATGCAAAATAAGATACGAGAAAGTCACAATTATCCTCAGTCTTAGATGTTAAATTGGCAGTTAGGGGTTTATTATTGATGGTGCTCAAAAGTCTGAAAAATTTTTCTCGAAATTTGTGGCACTTCCCTAGCGACCTAAGTACAGAACTGATAGTTAGCGCTGGTTGTAACCTTTTTCTACCAATGATAAATGGTCTTACAGTATGCAAGCTGTCTACTTTATTGGCTGGAATGGAAGACGAAAATTGGAATATGGGCTTCACATGTGGGTTATACTTGAAGAGAACTTGGGCAATTAGATACCATGCAGGAGTTCCTATTCTTCCAACTCTAGGGGTGTCAATGAGCCGAGTGGAGCCAAGCTTGCACGTGTTCATGCTTGCCTTGCATGGTTGGAGGAACAGATTAAGCTTGTCTCAAGCTTAAACCTCTCAGGTTGAGCTTGGCTTGATTAAGGGAAGCAACCTTGCATTTAGCTTAGCTTGACTTGTTTATTTTATTTGTACAAGACCATAAATGAGAAAATGTAAGCAATAAATAAGTCCATTAGTGTAAGCAATAAATAAGCCCATTAGTCATCCAAACCACGCCTAAACCAAGTCAAGTTCTAAACACAACAAATAGCTGCTGTACTTGTACAGTACTGATATGTTTCATATTGAAATACGTAACTGTTAGATAAAATGCATTATGTTTTATAATATAATGCAATGCGCTGAGCTCGGCCAAGGGACTCGCCCTTGTCCGATGTGAGTTACTCAGACTTGGTTGAGTCATGTACAGGGCAAACAAGCCCTAAATAAATTACGAAAAAAGAGAAGAAAAGATTGGAAAAAAATAAAAAAGGTTTTTAGAAGTAAAATAAAACTAAAATGAAATTTAAAGAGTTAAAATAAGCTTAAAAAAGTAGAGAAAAATGGATTAGAAAAAAAATGATCAACAGTTTTGGGAACTTTAAAAAATTCATAAAATGGAAAATTATAAAACTAGAGATTATGACAAAAAAAAAAAAAACTCACGAATATTTGACGAAAACATCTAAATCATATAAGTTATCCTTACTAAAAAAAACCATCTAAATCATATTGAAAAAATATATAGAGCAATCCCACTATTTTTTTAGAGCAAATTACGTATGAACCTTATTTGGGGAGGGGGGGGGGGGGGGGGGTCAATTAACATTTGGGGGGTAAATATTACAAGCACCAACACCCCCCGCCCTCTCGCAACCTTTTTATTTTCCTAAGTTGCCCCCTGTCCGGCAATGAAACCATCAGACATGGGTTTTTTTTCCCTCCCAAAGTGACCCATGCTGTCCAACGTTTGAATTGTCGGGCAGCACTTTCTCCCACTTCTCTCTAATAAACAGGGTCCTATGCCCACCAGTTGTCATCCATCTCTCTCTCTCTCTCTCTAAACACAATGGGATGTAAAGGTACTGGCCTTTTTGTCTTTTCCAAGAGCCACGATGACTTTGGTGTGGTGATACTTGATTACTTGTGTTTGAAGTCAAATGTGGCGTCTAATTTTGTAGGCTCCTTGTGTTGATATTTCTGGTGCTTAGTGAGGCAATGGAGCCTGTTGGAAAAAAGACTGATGATGATGATCCTCATTAAGAGAGAGAAGCAACGAGAGAAACAACCAGTGAGATCTCATCACAGAGAGAGAGGCGGAGCGAAGTAGAGAGAGAAAAAGCCAGTGAGATCTCATCATTGCAGGAGATAAGGAGGGACGGGGGGAGAGAGAGAGAGATGTATGCAAAAGAGCTGAGAGAAATGGACAAGAAAAGGAGCAGACAACGCGCAGAGAGAGGGGGAAAGGGAGGTATGTCTGACAGAGAGACGAGGAGAGATATGGACAAGAAAAAGTTCAGAAAAACAAAGAAATAAAGGAAGAGAAAAGTTGCAGATGATGCCAAGAGAAAAATTTCAGATATAAGAAGGAATGAGATTAGAATTTTAAAAGAGTGCGGAGAGGCGGGGATTTGGAAGGCTGAGCAAATGTGTGTGTGTGTGAGAGAGAGAAATGAGACAGAAAAGAGTTCGTTAGAGAGAAGTGGGAGAAAATGCTGTTTGGCAATACAAACGCATGACAACATAGGTGACTTAGGGAAAACATTAGGGGAAAAAAAAGGCCCCGGGAGGGCGGGGTGGGGAGGGGGGCGGGTGTGTGGAACTCGTAATATTGGGCAAATAACCCCCCAAATGGTATTTGACTCCCCCAAATAAGTTCCGTACGTAATTTGCTCTACTTTTTGCAATCTTTGGATTTTTTTTTTATACAGCAATTCCATTTTTTTTTTCTTTGGATTTCCCCCGAGTTGTATACACAACTCGGGTGGACTTGAGCGGATCACGTCGCATTGATATAATGTATACATTATTAACAATAACTGTTCTAATATACATTAGGAATGGTATAGCGTCTACATGCTGTGGATGCTTGAAGGGTGTACAAGCACCCTTTAATGGTTTAGATTGAACCTAGTATCATCCAATGGCCCAAAAACAGTTTCAAATTTTAATTTTATTTAAAAATGACATTTATCTAGATTGGGGATTCATGTATTTTTATATGAAGCACTAAATAAAAATACTAAAAAATATTTTGAAACAAAAAGTTTACTAAAGTACTGCTGAAATAGTACAAAAAGTTGACTAAAGTACTGTTGAAATAATTTAAGGGTATTCAAACCAATGTTTTTGTTAAAAAAATTCTTTTATTATTCTTATTTGGTGCGCCATACAAAAATACATTTACAACCCAAATTTCAAATAAATAATATTTTTAAATAAAATAAAAAATAAAATATGAAACTCTTTTGTGGCGGTTGGATGTCACCATGTTTAATCTTAAACATTGGATGGGTGCTTGTGCACCCTTCCACCGTCCACATGATGTGCACGGGGGAGACTTTCCCTATACATAATTGACCATTTACAATGATTGAGATATGATATGGATTGTGGCTCCAAATTGTCCAAGGCCTATGCCTGAGTGAGCTTGGTTTGGCTTGGCTGAGTCTATACAGGACTCAACCGTCTATTGAAATTTAATATAGTATCCTCAAGAACTGTTGAGATAGGCAATTCTTTAGGTTTTTCAACAGAACCTGGCACCTTGAATCACTAATTTGTACATAATTATTAAACAAGCTCAAGTCAAGCTCAATCCAAGCTTGTCTCAGCTTGAGATTTGCTTGACCGTAAACAAGCTGTGTGGCCCATCTTGGTCCTTAGCTTGTTGGGATGTAAATTGTTGTTCAAGCTTCGCTTGTATGACTCGAGCTAAGCTGGCTTGCTAGCTTGTTTGGCTTGTTGACACCCCTACCAACACATTCTTTCTTGTATGGTATTTGATTTGTAATTTATGCATCTGCATGAATGTGTTTTAGCAATTGCAATTTTTTTGTAATTTTAATGTTCATTTTCATATAAGACTGGCAGTAATGGTTATTTAGGCAGATTGGATATTTGTAAAAGGAAAACGAGAGCCTTTCTTCCTTTCTAGGTTCTTAATTGCAAGTTTTATTGCCTTCTATATGTACTTGCACACACATACACATGTGTTTTATATTCATAGGTTGCCTTTATTGCTAATTGATTATCACATGGACAAAAAACATGACATCATATCACAAATAGATGCAATCCAATGGAAAGTTTTACATAGGGAGAAAATGTGTAGCGTGTAGAAAAATGTTTTTAATAGAGATTGCAAAACCCTATCGACTCCCTCTATAGCCAGGAATCCTCGGCCTTATGGCTTCCTCTAGTACACAACGAAGGAAACCACGAACAATTTCCCTACGCTTCATCTTTTCATGTTCAGCAAGGTGTCTCTGCTTCTACTCCAGAAGATATTACAGTAGAACGATGCAGAGCTATCTTTTCCAACTCGTTGTGTTGTGAAATCCAAGTGGCACTGCAATGACATTGAAAGTCAAGATCTTTCACTGTTGCTAAAGAGCCTCCCAACTTTAGATGAGCTAGGATGATATACAAAAATTGTCATTATCAACAGACATCTAGTTCTTTTTGTTCTCAATTCCAAGATGCTTGTGAGGATCGTTACATTTCTTGCGCATGTGGTTCCAACTCTTTTTTAAAAAAGAAAATTATGTTTTTCCTCCCATCTCATGTTGTGTTTGCCTAAGCTTCACCGTAGCACTTGATAATTTCTATTTGCATTATATTCTCAGTCATATTGCTATAGAGATGAAAATGGCTCTAAGCCGTTTTACCAAAAATAGGCAGGTTTTCCTCCTATTATTCCTATTATGTCATCATCAAATGCATGGGATTCTGACCCCATGTTGTCTGCCATATGAAAGAATATATATTGCAGAAATGCCATTCTAACTACAACTTTAATTGTTTGTTATTTTTCTATTTGGTTCTATACTTTCCCTTATTTATCATCATCATCATCATTCAAGCCTTATTTCAATTATTTGAGGCCGGTTTCATGAATCATGTTCCTCCATTCTTTTCTATTACGGGCCACACCGTCAGTATGGCCAAAAGTCACAATATCTTTTCTAACTACTTCTATCTATGTCCTTTTGGGCATTCCTCTTACCCTTTCGGCGCTTTTCACTTGAACCAAATTGCACCTCCTAACCAGTGCTGAATTTAGTCTACACTGCATATGACCAGCCCAGCTAAGTCTACTTTTCCTCATCTGATCGCCTATTGAAGCTACCTAAGTTCCCTCAAGTGTATTCGTTCCAAATTCTATCATTTCTTGTCTTGCCACTCATCCATCTCAACATCCTCATCTTAGTTATGCTCATTCTATGGATATGTTGTATTTTGACCACCCAAAATTCCGTCTCATAGGGCATGGCTAATCTTATAGCTATAATATAGAACTTCCCTTTCAGCCTTAATGGTTTGCGACGATCACATAAAACTCCGCATGCACTTTTCCATTTTGCCTATCCAACTTTAATTCTATGTGTGACATGTCCTCAATCTCTCCATTCTCAGGATTATCGACCCTAGATATCGGAAACAATCTCTTTTAGGCATTGTTGACCATCCATCTTAACTAGTTTCTCGTTTCTTCTCCTATCATTATTAAACTTGTATTCCATATATCTGCTCAATCCGGCTAATTTTAAAAAATTTATATTCTAAAGCATCCCTCCAACATTCTAACTTTGTGTTGATGCTGCCTCTAGTCTCATCAATCACAACTATGTCATTCGCGAGCAACGCACACCACGGTACTTCATCTTGTAGGTGCCTGGTTGACTTGTCCATAGCCAAAATAAAGAGATATGGGCTCACATTGACCCTTGATGTAGCCCCAGTGTTATTGAGAACTCATTTGTCTCTCCACTAGTTGTCCACACACTAGTTAGCACTTCTCGTTCATATCTCTCATTATGCCAATATAGCCTCTGGTGACTCCTTTTTTTCTAACAACCACCAAATTAAATCTCGAGGTGTCCTATCGTATGCTCTCTAAATCAATATGGACCATGTGGAGGTCGTTTTCCTTCACCCTAAACTTCTCAGTCAGTTGCCTAAGTAGAAAAATGGCTTTGATAGTTGACCTTCCTGGCATAAAACCAAATTGATTTTCTAATACACTCTTCCACGCCTTAGTCGTTGCTCAACCACTCTCTCCCACAACTGCATAGTGTGGCTCATAAGTTTATAAACACGTGCCTATGTTGCGTGGTTAAACTCTCTCTTGGGATAACCTTGCCGTCTTTACATGATGGTCGAATTACCTTCTTGACTAGAAAGAAATCCATCTAGTTTTTATAGGATTTACTTTTATAAGTTATTAAGTCTCATCTCGCTTTTCAAAGTAGGTGTTTGTTATTGTTAGGTCGTAGGTTATATACTTCCCCTTACTATGGTTTCATATTTCGTTAATAGTGGCTTATTTGTTAATACCCATAAGAAAGATATATTTAATATTTCTTTATTTAATCTTTGATTTTTCTCATGTGAGAAAAAAAAAAGGATTTGCTTTGTAACTGTGTTTTAGTTGTAATCTGAGTCACATTTTCATTGACCAGAACATGACTGTGGGGGATTTTGTGAGCTTATAATGTCTTAAATGGTTGTGACAAAATGCATTGTGTATCATTGCAAACAAGGGGTTTAACTATTGTATATTGTGTATATTTTCTTTTATTATCTCTTCAACGAGATGCAATATGTCTATTTATTTGCTGCTCTTTATACAATTACCATTGTTGATTTTCTTTTGATAAATTACACAAAGAAAAGGCTTATTTGTTTGTCTTTTTCGATTTGGCAGACTGATAAGGACCATATCAATTGTCTTAATCGTCTTAAATCAAACAACTTGGCTAGTGGTGATGCTCACAGGGCCTCTCTACACATGCTGAAACCTAACGGTACTCTTCCCAGCGATCAAAGGGGACTGAGAAGATCTATGAGTCAGAAAGATTTATTACAGTCTCATGATGACTACTCGGTGAGCAAATGCATTTATAATAACTATTTCATAATGGCTCGAATCTATATGTTTCTTTTGTAGTGGAGACGGCCATGGTCTAATGCATCAAAGTGCTTATGTTGTCATATATTTAAGGAAAATAAAACAAAATGAAATTCCAAAAACTGAAAGTGCATGAAAATGCCCTTTTTTGGAGATTCATCATATGGTTAATTTAAAGTAGCGACCCTGTCAATATTTTGATGTTTGGATGCATACTTCTTGAATGTAATATAACTATTAATAAATTGATAATATTGGTTTTCTGTAGAGCTACTCTTCTGCACTAACTGACGATGAGGGGCCAGATGTTCGTTGTAGCAGAAATGGAAGCGAGAAGACAATTCGGGCAGTTTATGCTCAAAAAAAGGTTTGGCTGCAATCCATTTAGTTGCAGCACATGATAGTACCTTTCTACATCAATACCATGCAAGAAGTTTAAACTGTAACTGTCAAATGTGTTGCTTTGACCCTTTCGGCCAGTTTATGCTCAAAAAAAGGTTTGGCTGTCAATCCATTCAGTTGCAGCACATGATAGTACCTTCCTACATCAATATCATGCAAGAAGTTTAAACTGTAACTATCAATGTGTTGCTTGAGCCTTTTTTTTTCCTTTTCTTTTTTGTTCTTCTTTTCTGGTTAGTGTTTAGAGCTAGGCGAGGCAGAGCACATATTTACATGAATTTGTTTACCCATGCATTTATGTAAGTGATCTTAATGATCATTTTTTTAATTCTCGGAGTAATTTCTCTGCTTTTTCAGACACTTTCTGTTTGTTTGTAGTACACTACAGGCATTTTCTTCTTAAGGCTCCTAGAAATGGCTTAAGCATTAGTCTTATTAACTTAGAATTTCAAATTATATGTTTAATAACCATCCCAGTTCTTGTAGGAAACATACAGAACACTCAAACTATATAGAAAAACAACCAAAAATTTTTGCACTATCTTCTACCTCTCTTTAGTAATCAATTTCCAAAATGAGTAAGTGTTGGCTACAGATTGTATAGAGGTGTGAATGTGAGGGTATGATGTGGAGTTCTTTGACCCTTTTTCTTTTGTTTGTCTTTGTACTAAATCTCTAAACCTCTGTACTAGAATATTATATTTTTCTTTTTCTTTACCGTTTTTTTTGAACTATTCATGTTTGAATGCAAGAATTTTTGGGTCCATTTTTATATATTTCTACATGGTGTGCTGGCACAAAGTTCATTGTAAAGCCCTTTCTTCTCAGACTGAACATCCTACGGGAGATGAAGTTGGGACCGGCTTATATGAAGCAATGCGGAAAGAAGTTAGAAATGTTGTTGCACAAATCAGGACAGAGCTTGAACAAGTAAGTTTCTATGGAGATTTGCTTCTCTACGTTATTCCTGCTCATTTCCATATTTCTTCCAAACCTTTACTTGGATAGAATAGAGGGAAAGTGCCCTATAATCCAGTGGAATGGTATCCTTGTACTCCATTGGTTAATGGTTTATTTCCTTTGAATGAACTAGGCCAATTATAATTATGCATTTAATTGTTTCCACTATTATTGCTGTTTGGTTTCACCAGGTCATGTCGAAGACAAATGGCAATGGCTTGCAGTCTAAAACTACTGATATTTCCCAGGCAATAACTTTGATCAGGAAGAATTACACTACGAAACTGGAAGAGGTATGCATTTGGTTCATAGTTAAGACTTGGGACTATTTTGAATTTCCTAGAAGTTTGAGCTTCTGCTTTCTTGGAGCTTGTTGAGACTGTTAATTGAAATTCCAGCGTTAATGCTTGGCATTTAATATTCCGTTTACTGACACTGTATTCTTGATGCCCAAATCATTTACTCTTATGTGATGTTCTAAATTGGTTGTCAATGATTTGATAACCAGAGAATCATTGCGACTGGCATTTGAGTTTTGTTTTTGTATGTTTACAATTGTTGCAACTGACAAAAAAAATAAAAATAAAAATAAAAATGATAACTGTTTTAGTCAGAGAAGCGTACAAAAGATCTGCTTGCTGAGTTGGCTGTGGAGGAACGGCGTGGCAGAGAGCTTTCAAAGGTTGTTCGTGGCCTGCTTCCTGATTATTCAAAGCAGTCGGAGCCAGAAAAGCCAGCAAGAACAAGAAAGGTCTCTCTCTCTCTCTCTCTCTCTCTCGCTCTCTCAATGCAAACATATTGTCAACTTGTTAACGTAACAATTCGTTGCGTTAACCTATTAGTTTTGTCATTTTGCGCTGGGGTTGTTTTTCTTCATTTGCCATATTGAAATATAAACAACGAATGTGTGTTTTAGACGGGCTAACATACATTTATTGGTCCATTAGGCAATTGTTAGAAAACTCGGACTCGCATCCCAAGCTGAATGGTTCTCGAGTCTGGTAGTACCTGATAGACTTGGTTGAGTCTTTTAAATACTCGGCTGAGTCTGTCCAAAATAAATAATTAAATAGTGTGAATCAACCAAACTTGGCTGGTACCAATGTGTATGTTTCCAGACTCAGCAGCCTGCTGAGCGCGAATGACTCCCTCCAGTTTGAGTGGGCTTGCCCGAGTTTTCGAACACTGGCTTACATTGGCATCATAAGTATGTGCTAGTCTGACCAAATCAACCATGCTTTGCATGTATTTGTGGCATTTCCTCTGAGAAAATGATAACTCCAAGAAAATGATAAGCTAGTCCTTGCCAAAGATGATTTTGCATCCATATATTGTGAAGAACATAAACAACGTACATCACGTAGTATGCATATTATCAAATTCCACGTGTTTGCACTTAGTACTTGCACTGTCTTACGGGATGTAAACTTTTGGTGTTAATCATCCGATGAAAAAAGATTAATAACACCCTCAATATACATAGTAATTGTTCGAACTATGTAAATTTTCACCTGTTATTGTGTACTTTCCGTGCTTCTTATGAATAGCTTTCATTGGTGCCATCTTGTGTTATATGATTTTCATTTGTATGTTTTCTTGTTCCCTTTTGGATTGGCAGCGAAGCATGGATCGAAATAAGATGTCGAAGCGTCTAACAGAGGAGGCAGAGAAATATTTCGAGGGATTTTTGTCAAATGTTGAAGACACTGAATTCTCGTCTTTTGATGATGAAAAGAGCGATGGAACCTTATCAGGAAACCCGAGGCCAAGAGACTTGGTTTTAGATACTAAAAATGGGGACTACCAAGACCATACCGTTTCTCCTCTAGAAACAGATGGAGTGGTTCTTCCATGGTTGCAGTGGGAAACGAGCAATGACGGGTCTTCACTTTTCAGGGATAAGATGGAGATACCACCTTCTTCAAGGAAAAATGTGTCTGATGTAGCTCAGGTCTCTCTCTCTCTCTCTCTCAATAAAGCGGGTTTGTACCCACAATTTTCTTTATCTTTCAATGGTTAAGCTGGGTTCAAATTTCAAACCGACACATCAACTGTAGCATGCACCTTCCATTTTAATTGTGGTCTCTCACTCTCTCTAGATCTGGAACAGTTTTAGCTTGACAGTTTCCATGGAAGTAAACCCTCTTTTACTTTTCAAAGCGGCTGTCAGCTGTAATTTATGAAATGGGACTCATAAGCAGTATGGTTCTTGCACAAATCATGGGTACTTCTTGAACATATCTGCACTCACTTATTTTTTTAATTTGTATTTATTTGTGTGTGTGTGTGTGTGTGTGTGTGAGCGAGAGAGAGAGAGAGAGAGAGAGAGAGAGAGAGAAGAGAGAGCATGTCCATTCAGTTCATCCAATGTTTTTGTTATGAACTTTGTTGCAGGAATGGAGCCCGTGCATTGAGTCTGCGGATAGCAAGAGCAATATGCTCAGTAGCTGCCATGGGAGCTGGAGCCCAGGCAGTGACACCCATGACTGGAGCACCAAATCCCTTACAAGCAATAGCCATGTCAATAATTTGGAATCTGGTACTCCAGAAAATTACCAGAAATTTAGTGTCGAGAGAGGAAAACTGAAGAAGGCATTTGAATTGGATGAGTATTTACACCACCGTCAGGGTGAAGATTTGCTCATGGACAGATTGAGGTATAGGCAAAGAATACAATCAGGTGCTCTCATTATCTGTTGTAACTCATTTATCTAATATTCTGTCACAAATTTTTTTCTTGTTTCTGGAGGGCCTGATTGGAACTGTACATCATAATCGTTGGAAATGGTTGAATGTTGTTATCAACGAAAAAGTTCTAATCAGCATATTAATACAAAGGTTACTATCATTCTTATTCATTCATTTCTCATTTATATTCATATTGCGTGTTCTCTTACACAGGTTACAATCACATTCAAATAGCTCTCTCTAATCAATTAAAGAAACCCGTAACATCTCTCTCTCTCTCCCCCCTCTCCCCCTACCCCTACACCCGCCCTTCCATTGTATTTTAGACTCATAACATGTTTAATTGATGTACATTACTTGAAATATTTTTTCTCCTTTGTTAGTTAATGAGGTTGTCAGTTGAGGTCCATTTTTGTCAAGTTCTAAGGCATGTATTATGTTTCCCCATTTGTGTTAAAATTTCAATTGCAAAATGCCAGGTGAAAGACATGGTTTTATCCATCTTTGGGGAGAGGAACCAAAACACTATCTTTATATTGTTTCCAACCAAACCTATGAGTATCTCTATTAGTGTAATAGCAATCCTCTAATTATTCATGACCAATCTGATTACTACTACAATGCAACTCTTTTAGGTTGTAGAATGGAGAAATGAATGATCAATTATGAATCTACAATAGACTTCCAGTTCTAGAGTTGTCACTTTCTTTATTAATGCCCTCACTACCACTATAACATGCGTTTTTCAGAAAAGTGAAGTACCAAAAAAAAAAAAGAGAAAAAAAGAAAGAAAAGAAACAATAGTTAATTAAGTGAAGTCCTTAAGTGAAAACCTACAATGGACTTCCAAGTTCTAGAGTTGTTGCTTCCAGTTTTCATGTATTTTCCCAGCATACTTCTTTAGCAATCTGACTTGAGTTAAATTCCATCTTGCTTTCATACTTTGATAATAGTTGTTGTCATTATGTCTTCAAGATATCATATATACAATTACCAAGTCCTGTATAATGATTGTGTTTTTGCAGGGGAAAAATACTAAAAATACTGTTTCATTAAGAAAATCAAGTATTCAAAATAGTGCATCTTATAAGAAATTATCTGGAGTGTGTATTTTCAAGAATTTCAAGTATTTATTGATATGTTCCATCTTTAAAATTTCAATTTTATAACTAAGAACAAAAATAGATTTTTAAACCGTCTTAAGGTTTCTAACACCTAAATTGCATCTAGATTTCAAATCTAGACTCAGAAATTCAAATTTTTTTTTTTTCAAACTTCATGACACATCTTAAGCCATCTAATGTGACATCTAATAGTTAGGAATAATTGTGGAGATTGTATTCAATGATACCATTTACTTTTTATACACGGTGGTCACAATTCGTTACAATCATTTAATGTGAAATTTGATAGCTTGGATGTGTCATAAAGTTTGAAAAAATTTCAAATTTAAGTTTGGTCAAAGAAATAATTGCGGCCCCTTAACTTTACGTCCAATGGTAAAGATTATTGTGACCACCTTGTATGGTCTCATTCTACACTTTCTCATAATTGTGAACCCCTCGTAATAAAAATAAACGATCCTGCAGTATACAATCCCTTTTGTGAATAGACTCGACTGTGCGTAGAAATGTTCCCTACTGTGAAAGGGAATGACTTCCCTCAAAGTCACAAATTAGCCATCAATTCTCTTTGTTTAGATGGACACATTATACGAGGGCAACAAATCACTCAATTTGCACATACTCAAATTCTCTCTCTCTCTCTGGATTTTCATTTTTCGCTTTCTAAATGTTGAGGCAGTTCTCTTGTGTTTCCTGTGATTTGACTAGTCATACGCATAAAAAGCAAGAAATTCATTTATCCTCTAATTGGATGTATCCCAAAGGCAAATTTGTTAGTTGAAACCGGTGCTTAAAAAATGTCGGACGAAACAGAATCGCTCAATCTGATTTAGGAGTCGGTCACCCTGTTTCGGTTTTGCTTTTATATATATATATATATATATATATATAGAAAAAAGACTAACAATAGCTGGTCAGCTATAATGAATAGTAATATACGTGAAATGAAAGCTGTCAAATTTTTATTATGCAGTTCAAAATGTGTATCGCTGTTTTAATGTTAATTATTTTTCTATAAATCGAATCATAATGAAATTCTAGACATGTGTACTAAAAAATAGGGCGAACAAAAAAAATATATATAAAAAAAAGTTCCCAAAATTTAAAATGATCAAAATGTTGGGATATAGATATATTGATATACATTATTATAGATGTATATGTATATATCTCTTGATAAGGTTAGGTATCTAGAAGATAGAGACCAAGTTACTTTCTCATCAAGTTATCATACCATAATTATCTCTTCTAATTGTGTGATTGTCCATTATATATGGAGGTACTTTTTGATGTAAAGATTTATTCAAAATAATGAAGATGTAGCCAGTTAGGCTTTGGATCCGTAGATGTTAGGCTTCGGCTTGAATCACGTAAATGCTGTATCTTATTATCTCTCCATAAATTCTAACATGGTATCAGAACGAGATTTTAACATGTATGCTCATTGGCTTAGATTTGAGCTTGCCAACCTCAGATCTGAGCTCGTCAATTTCAGATCTGAAGTAGGGAAATTTCATAGAAAAGAAGGAAAATCTGATTTGCCCTCTATTGGAGCCCTCCGGTCCACTACGGAGAGTTTTCATCTCTACATTCTAGCCCAGGAAAACTTCCATCGGACTTGACATTGTCTCGACCTTGAGAATTTGGCTTCGAAAGCCACAATTAAGGTCTCTGGTTTTGTGAAAGCCAGTGGTTTCAACAGAAGTGGTATTGGGAAATCCGGTGGCTTTCATGATGTTTATTGTCTTTTTTTTAATCATGCCAGAGGAACTGAGTTGATTGCGCCAAAAAATTTATCACAAACATGTGTTATTTGGGAGAAATTTCGAGAGAAAAAGTCCAATCTTTGAAAAAGCAAGGTGATAGAGAGAGAGGAGTAATTATTTGATGAGAGAAAAAGGAGGAAAAGATGAGGAAGTAGAAGTTCAATTGCAAAAGTTGGAAAAACTTATCAAATATTGAATTATGATGATTATGCAAAAAGTCTCTTTGTTTTGGGGTTGTTAACAAAAAAAAAAAAAGGGTCATAGTTTTTTTACGATGTGGGCAATTTCATTAGCATTTTTTTTTGATATGTTTGTATTTAAAAGATAAAAAAAAGAAAATTGTATTTTGCAAGTTGGGTGTTTCTTCGCATCTACACCCAACTTGAGGGGGAGAGTATAGGAGATATGGAGATGAGATGCGTAGAGATGAAGTCAACGTCTCTAATGTAACCGCTAAAGAAAATCAAGATTCTAGCTCAGTCCAACTACTATGCAAAGGGAAGTTATGATCATATTGATTCCAGAGTTCCAGTCTCTAGATGAGGAGATGAAGATGATCGAATTTCTCAATCGAAATCGATGATCAATAGTTCTGTCTCCAGATGAGGAGATGATCGAATTTTTCGATCCTGGTTAATGATCAAGTTTTTTGTTCCTTGATCTTGTTTGATGATGGAGTTTTTTATTGCTCCATCCTGTGTAATGATCATCGAGTTTTTCGTTACTCGATCTCGGATGTTCCGAAGAGAGAAAGAAAAATCCTTTTCTTTTAAAGAGAGAAAGCCTCTAGAAAGAAAAGAAGCCTCTGAAGAGAGAGATCTTCAGAGAAGCCTTTGAAGGGAGAGATCTTCAGAGAAGCCTCTGAAGAGAGAAGATCTTCAGAGAAGAAAGTAGAGAGCCCAAGAAAGGTTGTTTCTTGAAAGACCTTAGAGAGAAAAAGTCTCTAAAAGAATGTAGAGAGCCCAAGAAATGTTGTTTCTTGGAAGATCATGGTAACATGTGATTGTTTTTTTTTTGACAATTTAGTATTGTTCAAACTCGAGCTCAAGCTCGAGCTGCTTTGTGTCAGAGCATCTTGAGTTTGAGGGGGAGTGTTGGGATATAAATATCTTGGGTTGATATTGATATATATATCATTATGGATGTATATGTATATATCTCTTGATAAGGTTAGGTATTTAGAAGATAGAGACTAAGTTACTTGGTCATCAAGTTATCATACCATAATTATCTCTTCTAATTGTATGATTGTCCTCCATATATAGATGTACTTCTTAATGTAATTCATCCAAAATAATGAAGATGTAGTCAGTTAGGCTTTGGATTCATAGGCGTAAAACTTCGGCCTGAACTACGTAAATGCTGTTTTCTATCTCATTCTCTTTTCATTCTATGCTCCCACAAATTCTAACACGAAATACCCTTGAAAAATGATGGGGGTAGTTTGGTCTTTTTAAATTATTACAAGTAATTTATATATTTTATATGGTGAGCAATAGTGTTATGTACATACTCTCAAAATTTTATATTAATCGGATTTATATAAAAAAATTAAAATTAAAATAGTGACGTGCATTTTAAACTGTTTGATCAAGATCTGATGGCTCCCATTCTACCTATATACTATTCATTATAGCTGGCTGTAAGGTTTACCCTATATAGTACAATGATGATTCTCTACAGTAAAATGATGACGATTCTCTACAGTAAAACAACGATTCACTATAGTAGAATGGATCAGTTTTTAGCCGGTGATCCGGACTGCCGATTGATCGATCTGGACCAGTTTTTGGCCAATTCACTGTCTTCTCAGGCGTTTTTTTGCCGGTTCACTGTGTGGAATACAATGGTAATCTGGATTGCTGATTCATCTATCCGGACTGATTTTTTGGGTGGCTGATCCAGTTCACCAATCTTTTTTTCTTAAAGCATTGGTTGAAACCATTATTGTACACTAAAATTCATGTGCACTAATTCACTTGAGCTAGGAGGCAAATATTGTTATGAGAAAGCATAACTAAAAAATTATCACGAAACAGCAAAAATTAGTTTTAGCATTTTTTACTGTGCTCGTGTTTCGCCCTTGCAATTCCAACATTTACAAAGTGTACGGCTTATACTCTTATGGGGTTATCATCCGAGGGGAATATTTTCACGATATCATTGGAAAGCTCTTATTTTGGTGGGGATTTATGGAAATTTTTTTGCAGTGTTATGAATTGAAGAATCACCATCCTAAGAAAGAGGTACAATCACTGCATTCACAATGCCATCAAACCT